TTGTGTTTTCTTTTGTCCAGTTGTATTTTTATTTTTTTTAATATATAAATTTCCCAAACATTATTATAAGGTTTCATAATAATTGAGAATGTCTTACGTGTCAGCCATGCAGTATACATAGTTCTCTATGGGACACCTGAACCCATTACAAAAGTCATCAACAGTAAATAAAGCTGAAAGTACACTTTGTTGGATAAATTAATAATGAAGAGAAAAAAAATAAAAAAATTATTAATAATGAACTACTACAATACTGGTGTGCTGTACACGTAGTGCATAGAATAATTAAATTTACAATAAAAAATAATATATTTTGTTGGGTTTGAAAAAATTATAAGTATTTATAATAAAAGAATCAAAAATATTATTTTAAATTCTGACAATTAATTTATATATTTCATTAGTTTTATTTATAATATTTTTTAAAAATTACACAAGAAAATAATATGAACAAAAACAAAATGTAGAAATACACATTATAAAAAGAAGATAATAAATAAATTAATATAATAAATAAATTTATATGGAATGGTTTAAAAATATTAAATATGTGTATATGTATGGTAATCCGAACCTAAGTTATTTAAAGTAAAAGTAAGTTTTATACAAACCATATTACAAAGCATTATGAAGCTTGCAAAAGCTGCCACTTAGATTCAACACGTTATGAAATAAAAGAGACGGTTTTGCTACAAAGCCAATAGTTGGCTCCATAGTAGAGTCAACTTTCTATATACAACAAATAAACCTACCATATTAATAAAATTGTATTAATGTTATTTAAATAATCAGAGAATATGGTAGATTTATTTGTTGCATATAGAAGGTTGGCTCCACTATGGAGCCAACTATTGGCTTCATAGCAAAACCGATAAAAGAGATATGTCAAAATTAAAAATCTCAAAGTACATTAATTTGTAGGATAAATTAATAATAAACATTGAAGTTGCACAAAATAATAAATATTAATTAGGAAAATATTTAATTGGAAGTGAGTTAAAGTGAGTTAATATAAAAAAAAAAAAAA